GAGGGCGCAACTAGGATCTATCCACATTTGTATTCCCTTGATTTATGCTGAAATAAATCATTGTCTTATTTATTATATTAATCAAATTACATATCATGCCTACAATCTCATCAAATTCATTAAACGACTATGATTTTTTTAAAATGGTCCTAAATATTGAATTTAGGAAGATACTCAGACCAATCTGTTTAATTTGATGATTTTAAAAAACAAATTAATGAAAAACATGTTTAAAAAGTATAAGGAAACAAACAAGTGTTATATATAAGTGTAGTATATAATAATTGATGGGTCAGTTCTATTGGGAAATGTGTGTCCATAAAGCCAATGCATAGCTCATGAGTGCCAACTTCAAGTCCTTAAAACACATTATTCAATGGAGTTGATGAATCTTTGTTCCAGATTATATCAACCTATACAACACCTAAAGAAGCCTCAGATGCACTTCAGACGACATTTGAAGGTTCAACGAATGTTAGAGCAACAAAATTGCAGATGGTTGAGTCTCAATTTGATAGTTCGAAAATGGAAGAGAATGAGATGATCTTTCATTACAGTAGTCGATTTAAGGATGTTGCGAATCAGGATCACATGCTCGGATTGATATTTGAAGAAAGGAAATTGGCCGAAAAGATGCTAAGGACAATCACTCATAAGTTTGCCCCCAAGGTTGCTGCCTTAGAAGAAATGGAGAAGATACCATTACCTCGGATGGATTGATTGATATTCTACAGACTTATAAGTTAAATTATCTTAAACCAAAACTAAAGAAGAATATGCATTCTTGGTTGATAATGTTGCTTAAAATAATGCATAGGATGATTCAGATGAAGATGGGGTGTCCTTTATTTCGAAAAGAAGCATAAAACTGCTTTAAAAAAAGAGGGTCAGACAATTAAAGGAAAAAGTTGAGTAGACTAGTAATTTGAACAACATCCGAATTATGGATAAAAAGGCTGCACATGCTAAAAAAATAAGCTCCTCAATAGAGATCTTCTTGGCATAAAAGGAATCAAAAGCATAAAATTCATGTGCCAAAAAAACCATTGTATCTGATGTTATTTGCTATGATTGGACTGGTTTTGGACATATTCAATCCGAATGTCAAACAGAAATGAGAAAAGATAAGAAGGCAAGGAGAATTACATGGAGTGATGATGAAAGCAATGCTGAAGGATCAAACTCCGAAGCTCATAATGATGATTAAAATGTAGTTTCTTTACTCTAAAAGATAATATGGAAAGTGCTGATAATGATGACATTAATAGCACAATCGAAATGGATCTTGAGGAATTGGGTGGTGCATATAGGGAAGTTGTTGCTGAAAATAAAATAAAATTAAATCCTGTCATCTAGAACTAATTATCTTAAGGGATGTATTGAAAGATTAAAAGAAAAAATTGATGTGTTGATTGAAAACAACACAAAAAGTACTAATCAAGATGAATGATGAGTTGTGCAACGATTATGAAAATTTATCTGATGAGGGTACCAATTTGAGAAAGAAAGTTCAGGAACTTAGTCAAATTATAAGAAATTCTTGGATGAAAATAAAAATAAAAATATGTCCATTTAAATTATTTGTATTTTCTTGATAACGTGAGAACCCGCAGTCGCTACCGAAAGTACGCACTGGGTAAACCCTTGGCCGAACCTAATATCCTGCAAATTAGGCCCGACAGGCAAGTCACACTAGGCGAACCATATGCGGCAGATGACCTGAGGCATCGTGAATTTGAACCTATGACCTCACGGTCACAAGTCCAATCCCCACCACCCGTCCATCCCTTACAGACTAAATAATGGATATTGTCAAGTTTTTCTCACAAACAAAAAATTAAACAACAAAAACGTGAAGGAGAGAGCTCAACAAAAACAAAAGCATCACTACAAGATATTAACAACTCAAAAAATTAAATAAATAATAATTAAAGATATTTCAAGGCATCAATCTAAGCTCCTCAAATTTAAAATTTTGACAAAGCCAAAATTAAAATTTCAATCCTAGAAGCACCTATAAATACTAACCAATTTATTCAGCATTCTCTACCAAAAAAACTAAAATGGCTTGCATAAAATCTCTGATGTCTCTTGCAGTTACAGCAGCCCTTCTAGCGCCCGGTCCTCACCCAAAACTGTCGGGGCTTGCGACAATTACTATTTTATTGTTGCGGAAGGCCACAACAATTACTATTTCATTGTTGCAAAAATCCAAGACAATGAATATTTATATTGTTGCAAAAATCTACGACAATTAATAATTACTTTTTTGCAAAAAGATGCGACAATGAATATTTTCATTGTTTCAACTTTCCATAACAATTTGTCGCAGTCTTCTGCGGAACTACTTCCGCGACAATTTTATTAAAATTGTTGCAGAAGCATATACATTCCGTAATGTGTTGGAGATTCAAAACTATGGTTATTGAAACTAATTCTAAGGGGACTTCAAGGGGATTGGAGATTTAGTTATGAAACTATGCATAGGTTATAGATAACATTGCCTTTCATTACATGCTTAATTCATCAGTTGCATTGATGCATTCTTGTGTTTTCGTTATGCAGTATGTTAATTTTCAATGTTAATTGATCTGAAGATGATGCTCACATCTGTTTTTCAACTAGTAATGAATATAATGATCTATTGATTATGTTTAGCACTTTTAATTAGGTGAAATGATACACTACATGCGTAGTTGTAATGATAGGATCTAATAAATTTATGCTCTTCCCGTCCCACATATGTTGTTTAGTTTACCATAAATATGAAATTTGAAGAATGGTATAATTACTAAATAATTAAAACTGTACTAGTAAAATTAATTATAATATAAATAATGATAGATTAAAATTTTAATATATCATTTTGATGCTATACACAAAAGTCGGCACCAAAACAATATATATGAGATTTTATGGTGTGGGTGATTTTGACATGGAATATGAGTTTATCTATCTTGGTAGTGCGGATTTCGGAGCCTCAATTTTTATTTTTGTTTTGTCACCGATTTGGTGCCTCAATCTCTCTCTCTGTTTTTTTCTTTTTTTTTTTTTTTTCCGAAGTTTATCTATGATTTGGTACCTCAATATTTTTTTAAAAGTTTTTGGATGTGACTCATTGTGGTGCCGATTTCGGAGCCTCAATTTTTTGTGCCGAAGTCGGCGCTTGACAATTTTTAATTTGGATAAGATCTTCGACCGATATAGCATCATTTAATCAAAATAGTTGTGATTCTGACGTAGTTTCTTCGGTGCTAATTTCTTTTTGTTTTCGGTAGTATCTAAATTATATATATCTAACATAATACTATTTTTAAAGCTATTATTTAAAAATAAATAAAAGTTAGATTTGTACATAAAAGTAATAAAATTTGTATTAACTATTCATGTATTTACTCATTGTACTTTTTCGGTTAACACAACATGTGTTATATTAGCTGAGAACATGTATTGTTTGTCTATTTTTTTTTACGTGTGCTAATTGAGCTTAATTAGCATAGTGTTGAGTAGCTACAACAACAAACTAACCAAACCCTATTAATATATAATTAAAATTATCCTTATCTCATTTTCACAATGGTCTCATAGAATTCAAGAACACCCATGATTAGTTGCATCTGATTTTGACTCTTATAGCATAGCACATGCTATATGTGTGAAATTTCCGAACACATTAATTATATCTTGGTATGAGTATTTTGGGACATTGCTACTGTTGAAAATATGAGTATTGCGAAAATAAACGTGAAACCGAGTCGAGGATGGATTCTCTTTCCGAAAATTAGATACGTCTCGGTAGTGCCTCTGATGGATGGCGTTTTAACCCAAAGATAAAACGGTTTCCGTCTCCAATGAGAGTGACACCTTTAATTGTTGGAGCTCCAGCGAACAAAGACGAGAGAGGAACTGAGCTGGGGGCTGCCGGAAAGCTAGAAGAGAGGAGAGAGGGAGGAGAGAATTGTTGTTGGTGATTTGAATGAAGGGGGAGGCTCTTTATATAGGCGTCTCCACTCCGCCAAAATGGCAGGACATTAATTACGATCATAATTACGATTTTAATTATCGATGTAATTAAATATAATTCAAACCTTCCGTTTGAAGCAGTCGTAATTTATTCTAATTACAAACCTTCCGTTTGTGACGATCGTAATTTATTATAATTTCAAACCTTCCGTTTGAAACGATTGTAATTTATTCTAATTACAAACTTTCCGTTTATGACGATCGTAATTTATTCTAATTTCAAACATTCCGTTTGAAACGATTGTAATTTATTCTAATTTCAAACTTTCCGTTTGAGATTATAATATATTTTAACAACGGATAATATTTTATCCAAATAATGTTGCGACTTAGGCCATATACCCGGGTTTAATTTGGGGTTGCACAAATTGATTTGTCTCGAGACAGGCAAAATAGCCAAAATATTAACCAAACCCCATACACAATAAATAATATTTATTTATTTATTCCAAATTAATTATATTAATTTGGTATACCGCCCGTCGCATTTTCACTCACAAAATAATCGATTGGAAATAGCCGATTATCCAACAGCTACTATTTCTTTTGTGTATTTCTTAGATGCTTCGCTTAAAATTTACTCTTTCCATACCAAATTAGTGGTTTATTTTTCCATTTTTGTCCGTCCTAAAACAATTGTTATGTTTTCTTGCAAAGACGGTAGTGTTCCATCATTTTTATTACTGTTCCATCATTTTTATTACATCACCAGTTTACTGTCTATCATTTTATATTACGCAAGAATAGAATATATATATTTATATATCTATATATCTTAAGATAATAATGTAATAGTTTGTTTGTTTATTACTTTAGTTTGAGTTGTTTATGTGTCGAAAAATTATGTTAATAATATAAAAAATAATATTTTATTTTTTTTGAGAGAATAGAACATGTATTACTTATATAATTATATGGATGTATCTATATATTATATATTTTTATTAATATTTATAAAAATTAAGTATCAAGAAAATTTTGTTGGGTGAACAAATACATATTTTTTCATACAAAGTAGATTTTACCAAACCAACAAGGCCAAAATAACATTTCAAGTCCACTAAAAATGCATTCCAAGGATGGCCTAGCGTCGTCGGATGGATTTGTCATCGTGAAGTTAAGATTTAAACTCTGACGCCTCTAGGTCTTATATGACATAACACATTCTAAAAAAAACGACTATGAATTATCACGTTATAAAAAAATCATCTAAGTTTCATAACTTGCATTAGGATATATTTATATTCCAAAAATATGGATATATCAATAAAGGTGTAGAGGAAGAACAGGTTCCATGACAATGGCGAGGGCCTCTTTCGGATGAGTGCTCAAACTGAACTTTTCCTCCATGGATATATCTTCAGGCTTCATTCCATCCTTCAATTTCAGGTCAAATCCTTGCAGCAAGTTCGCTACGATTGCCCGGACAGTCTTCAACGCCAATTTATAGCCGGGGCACCTTCTCCGGCCGGACCCAAATGGCAGCAACGCAAAGTTAGAGCCAGAAATATCGATTTGTTTTCCTATAAACCTCTCGGGTATAAACTCCTCGGGTGTCTCCCAATATTTGGGATTTCTTCCTATGCTCCATGTGTTGATAAAAACAGTTGTCCCCTTAGGTATGTCGTAGCCTGCAACTCGACAATCTTCCATGGCGTAATGAGGAGCTAAAATTGTAGAAATAGGGTGCAACCTCATGGTCTCTTTGATGATGGCATCTAAATAATGTAATTCAGAAAAGTCGTGTTCTTCTACCCATCGGTTTCCCCCGATTACTCTGTCGAGCTCGTCCTTAGCCTTCTTGTATATGTTGGGATGCCTCATGAGTTCGAGGATAATCCATTCGACCGTGGTTGGTGTTGTATCCGCGCCCCCGGCAATTATGTTCTATGAATACGGCACATAATCGAGTTTTGGATTAATATAGATTTGAATTTTATTTTAATCTACTTTTTTTTTTTTTTTCTCTCCAAAAATATCAATTCTTATTTTACATTCTAAAAACACTCCAACAATGTGAAAAGATATGTAAAAACACCCTTAGTTATGTATGTCAATGAAATTTGGATGTGTGCGGATGTGTTTGAAAGTATTTGGATTTAAAAAGGTAAAATAATAGTAGTAATAATAATTTATTTATGTAATATTTTGTATAAAATTAGTTTATTATCATATTATTAGTAACAGAATTAACTTTTACTACAAATTCAACGATGCAAAAATGAGTATGAAAAAACAATCAAATATGTAAAAAGTAATATTTGACCTAATATTTATATAAAAGAAATATGTATTTAATTTGATATTATTTTAAAATATTATAGTGACATGAACAGTATTGTTATAATTATTTTCTAACTACCTTCAAAATTCAAAACTCGCAATTTTTTTTGTCTAACCGTAATTTACAATATGATTAATACTTTTTTCATCCACTAAAATTAGGGTACTATTTTTTATATTAGCTAAATTATGCATATTTTATTTATTATAAACAATATTATCCAACTATGATTTTATTGTCATATTTTAATAAATATTAATCAATTTGTTCTTGTAACGTTTTTACTTACCTATCATATTTTTACCAATTTTATAATGTATTTCATATATTTCCTTTGTTCCATAACTAAATATTCATTTGCTTTTTGCACGTAGTTTTAAAAATATTAGTATTATATTTGGATATTGTAGGAATTAAATAAAAATGACTAAAATAATATTAGTTTGTGTGATACAAATGTAATGATATTTGTGTAATATATTATAAGTTGTAAGGGTATTTGTAATGTTAGGTAGATAGTACAATTATAAAAAAAATTGATACTTTGTTATGGGACGGACTAAAATAGAAAAATGAAAACTTTGTTATGCGACGGAGAGAATAATACATCTAATTTACTTTTTACCTATCAACTTTAACTTTAAAATAAGTTACATTAAAATACTATCATATTGGTTTCTTATTTTTCCTCTTTCGTCAAAAATAGGATGTTGTCATTTTTGTTGTTTTTTATTTTTTTTCATAATATTTTTTTTAAAAAAAACAATAGAGTTTGAATATATATAAAATTGAACATATCAATCACCAAAACTGAAAGTATTATTCAAATATCACCTGTATCAATGCCTTGATCGTGTTCTTTGAAAGTCTTTTTCCATCAGAATCAGAGTCAGAATTCTCAACCATCTGCAGCAACGTATCCACAAAGTCATTCCCGTCACCAGAAACCTTCCGTTTGAGATGATCATCGACCACAAAGTTGTATACCCTATCAAGTTTTTTATGCAACAACTTCATTCTCTTAACATATCCCTGAAGATCAAGAAAGCTTAAAAAAGGTATCCAATCCCCGATATTAAACGCCCCGTTGAGGAAGAACCACTCATCCATCATCTCCTGATACTCCTCCAATCGAACAACACTACCGGCCTCCTCCCCCAATCCCGACTCACTAAAATACCTCTCGCTCAACAACATCCTATTTATGGTCGACAAAGCATACCTAAACAAATGATCTCTAAGCAAGACCGGTTTCCCCGAGAGGGAATGCATCCGGGAAAAAAAATCGCGCCTCTCCTCAGCAAGTATTCGCCGAAATAATTCAGATTCCATCTTCTTGGCACTGAAAACCTCTGATAAATAAATCTTGCGCGCCTGTCGCCAATGAGGCCCATAAGGCGCCCAAACCATGTCCGAATAATTGTAACTAATATATCTACCGGCAATAACAGCCGGCCGCGAAGCAAAAACTGTGTCGTGAATCCTTAGGAACTGCTCGGCCATCTCCGGGGTGGATGCAACCACTACCGGGAGCTGTCCGAATCTGAGGAGCATTATTTCACCGTATTTTTTAGACAAGAAATCAAGGGACTTATGTGGTAATGAACCGAGGAGGTTCAAGTTTCCGATGAGTGGCCATGGTTTCGGACCCGGCGGGAGGTTGTGTTTGGGATTCTTTTTGAGGAAGAAGAAGGCTAAGGCAGCCATGTAAGCTATGAAGGCTAATAGTAATGGCAAGAAACCATCCATGATTGTCAGAAACACAAGATATGGTTGCTCTATGGAGAACCTGTTATTAATAGGTGAATATATGTGTAGACTAGAATAAATTCTACAGGAAATATCAGCTTAGATTTTTTTTTTTTTTATTTAGTTTTTTAATATGATGTTTTCCATTATTCCTTCATGATTGTCAACATTCATGATGTTGCTTTTGTTATATATATATATATATATATATATATTCGAGACATATAGTCCAAGAAATAAAATTTAGGAGATAATCTTAAAGGAACACATCCAAAGTTTTGGCATGCATTACACATAATAGTAACTTTAAAAAATTGAAATGAAATAATTAACTTTTTATTATCTTTAAAGATTTTTAAAATTTCATAAAAATTTCTATCTAAACATAATCTATTTGGCTCTGATTTTATTTATTTCTTTAATTTTAATCTCATACTATTCGTTATACTAATTTTATTATTATATTTATTACTTATTTTCTATTATTTAATATATATTACAAATAAAAATCTTATTTTTATTAAAAACATCACTTGAAATACTTGTTTGTATTATACCTAAGTATTATTTCAATTCAAATTTGTACATTCATAACCTACACCTAAATCTAAATCTTAAAGGACCACACCTTTAAAGTCTTTAGGTATAGCATAATCTTTTTCCTATTAGACAATGAAATCTTTTTGAAATCTGAAAGATGTTAATTAATCTACGGATCCGACCCATCAGCACCACATGCTAATAAAATCGTGAGCGTTTATCACAATGGATAAAAGTTGGATGACTTAAATTGAAGAGCGGTAGGATCACCTTTTCAAGTTTAATAGATTACTGACTTTGTAAAGAACAAACAAGATAGAATTCCACATCCTAGAACAAAGATGTGAGAAATATAAATCTCACATAACTTTATCAACCAAACATAAGATAGAATTTCAAATCCTAAATATAATAAATTTGATTGCATATAAATCCTACTGTGAAATCTCAATCCCACAAAAAACAGTCCATGAACCAAACAATCTTTTAATTTTTATAAATTACAAATATACTATTACACATACAATTATTTTATACAAAACGTCAAATGACAAAAATATCAAAAAATTTTACACACTTTTACTAACTAATAAAATATTATTATTTCTTAATTTATTACAAAATTTCAAAGAACACCTTTCAAAATGGACTGGGAAGTATATATTAATAATTTATTTTAATCTTAATGACAGCGATGACAACAAATGAAGGGTGGATGAAAGGTACAATAATTGTAACTTACACAAGTTTACATAGTACTTTCTCCGTCCCTTTTTCCTTTTCAAAATAGGTTTTTGGAATTTTATAGTAAATTAAAAAATAATAGTATTTTATTAGTTAGTGCAAGTGCGTAAGAGTTTGCTTTTTTAATTTTATGTACAAAATAATTATATGTGTAACGATATATTTGTAATTTAAATATAAACTAAGGTATTTTGATATTAATGTATAATTACTTTTACTAAAAATATATATTAATACTTTTGACTGAGACAGACGATGGAGGGAGTACAAAATTTGAGAATTAAGGCCTCAAAAAATTATAGAATTATAAAATTATACACATGTAATATTAATTGAAAAAAAAATAAAAATTTAAGATTAAGTAGTTCAACGGTTTGAATATAATTATTTTTATCAAACTCCTATAATCTGTCGAAAAAAGTGACAAGATTGAAGTTCGTTATTATTAATGAGTGTGTTTGATTTGTATTTCAATTACAAAGCACTGCGGTTAAGTCTATATAATTTTTAATAAAAATATCAATTTTTTTTTTTCAAATTAAACATTATATTAAAATATTATTTACATCAAAATTAAATCAAAATTTCAATTCAAATATAAATCAAACAAACCATTTCATAATAAGTTTTAATATTCCTCCGTTCGGTGACAGATGACCCATTTTTCTCTTTTGTTCGTTCCATTAAAGATGGTCATTTTCTATATTTAGTAAATTTATTCATCCTAAATATATTTAACAAATATAAATTAATTTAATTAAATTTCTAACCTCTTAACCACTCAAAATCCTTTTATCTTTTTCTCTCCTCAATAAATAAATATTTTTTATCTATATTTAAAACTTTTTAGTTTTAATAAAATTAGTTTCAAGTTAATTATAAATAAATAAGTACATTTTTTATTTATTTGTATTATATAAAATTTTATTCTCTACGAAATAACACTACAAGAAAAAATCATTTTTGTAACGAAACTCTTTTGTCTCTAAATCTACTTTTTTCGTTACTAATGGCATTAGAGACGGAATTAGTAATGGAATTACGTTAGCTACGTGAACTTTAGGGACGAAATTCCGTTACAAATATATTATTTTTTTGTAGTGTAATATCTATATTGTATATATTTTATTGATATATAATGCTAAAAATATTTAAAATACCAACAATACTACTCATATAAAAAATACTCCCTCCGTCGCATATAATATGGGTGTATTATGTAGACACGGAAATTTAAGTAAAGTATAATTAGTAAGTAATTAAGAAATGTATTAGTAAAAATAATTATAGATTAAGATTAAGATAACTAAATAATTTAATTAAGATTAAAAAAAATTAAATTTTAAATTTTAAAATATGATTAAAGTGTATAATTAATTTTCCAAAAAAGGAAAGAAAAAATTATGTGAGAATGACGAAAATAAAAAATAGGAACAAATTATATAGGACGAAAGAAGTAATAAAATAATATTATACCTTATTATTAATAACTTACTAATATACACGAAATCCACCTCCAATATCAGCGCTGTGGCTTGACAGCTAACTCGCCTCAAGTCAAATATGATTAGAATCAAATTGATAATATATACATATATTTAAATCAAAACGTATTAATTAATTTATAAGATTGATATTAAAAATCAATTAAATAAAAATATCATTAGATACAATATATGTATATATCAAACATTTCCACGAGGGTGTATTAAATATAGGAGGATTGAGTGCCATAATTGAATTTGAAAGTTTTAATTTTTTATCCAAAAATATTAAATCAAATATTTATTTATTATTTATTATATTACACATTTAATTTTACATTCAAAATATTATATCAATATATATTTATATCATATCGAACAATTAATTTCAATTCAAAATTTTAGTATTCAAAACTAAAATTCTAAATCAAAATCCCACAAATAAACACACCGGAATAAAAATGTGCCGACTAACCAAGGACATATAAAACAAATACACACAGTGACGAAACTAGCATCTAAATCTTTGGGGGCAAAATATTATAATTTATTTAATATTTAGAATTATATATGAATTTAGATAGTTTTGAGGGGGCAAACTGTATATAAATATATAAAATTAATATTTTTAACACTAAAAATATTATAAAAAATTGGATTTGGGGGGTCATGACCCCCCAAGCCTTAGCGTAGTTTCGTCCCTAATTACACGGGCGCATATATATTATTTTAACAAGATGGATCCCGGTTGATTAACAAATTCAGCATGGCCGAATCCAATAAAAATTATTTACTCCTTTCGTCCACCGCCAATCTATCCATTTTGCCATTTTAGTCTGTCCATCGCAAATGTATCCATTTTCTTTTTTAGTAGATGTACCCTCCACTAAAATATAAAATTACCCCACCCTTTATATAATATTACGCAAATGCCATCAAATAACACCAGTTAATACCATAAATGTTCAGGAGTATAATAATCTTTATATATATATCAATTGAACCGCATATCAATATAAAACTAATATACTAAAATCTACTTGCAAAAAGTAAACGAATAGACAGCCAGTGGACAAAAGGACTATTTTAATTATCATTTTTAGTCTTAAAATTATTGATACAAAATTTAGGGTCATAATTAAATTCAACAAACTACCTCTCAGCACATGAGGTCTTATTTTGATATAATTCTTATATTGTCTTATATGATGTGTTGTATATTTTTTGTTCACAAAACTATACATATTCTATTATGTATTTTATTGACTTACAATTTTATTGTTCTTATTTCAATAAAGAAAAATTATTATTATTATTATTTTTTATCTACATTACTTTAATATCATATATATGGAGGCGGATTCGGTGCTGATCGGTGCCCCATCAGCACCACGCTGATACAATCCGAATCGTTCATCATAATTAGATTATGATGAACGGTTTAGATTATATAGGGGTAATATAGTAATTTTATTTTAAAGACTTATAGGTGTATATGAACCCTTCGTCTTCAAATCGTTAATCTTCCCCCTTCAAATCATTTTTTTCAACAAAAATCCTCCATCGTGCTAACTTATTCTTTATTCCGTCTTCAAACCACCTTCTTCAACGGTAATCCTCCATCACGTTCGTTTGTTCTCCATTCCATCTTCAAATCGTCTTCTTCAACGAAACCCTTCCCTCGCGCGTCGTCTTCAATTCGTCTTCTTCAACTCTTTGTACCGTCCTTCAAATCGACGACACTAGGCGCGTCCATGGAGGCGATTTTTGGTAAGTACTATTTTTTCCATTGTGCAGTTTAGAGTAAATGTTCATCTTCTTCCATGTTACCTATTTTGAGTTTTGTTTTTTCCATTGTACAGTTTAGGGTAAATGTTTAGGGCGAGGACGAGGTCGTGGACAAGACAAAAATTAAGTGTGATGACTGATTTGTTGATTTTGATGAATTGAATTTGAAGAGATTGTTGGTATTAATTGATCGATTTAACTTGAATAGATTGTTGGTGTTGATCGATTGATTGAATTTTAATTGGTGATTGATCTGTTGACTGTATTTTCGCAACAATTACTGCTTAATACTCATGTTTCTTGTTAAAACACAAGATGCTGACCGATACATAGTAAAATGCTTGACTTAGTATATATAAATGCTGGCAGGTTTAGAATGAATGTTGCATGTTTCTAGCGGAAACAAAGTCTGTTTCCGCGAGCTAGCAGAAACAGACCTTGTTTTCGCTAGAAACAGATTTTTTTTTGTAAAAGTTGGCTACTCTCCGCGGAAACAAGCTTGGTTTCCATGAGCTCGCAGAAACAAGTTAATTTTTTTTTTT